TAAGGACATCAATATATATTTTAAAATGTAATAAAAATTTGGGGTGATTTCGGAGCCATTTTTTGGAAAAAACCATGGGCTATAGCCTTGGGCATTTTTCAAAAATTGGCCCATTTTTTAAAATGCTCATAACTCGAAAAATATTTGTCAGAATCAGCTCAAACTTTCTACACAGCATAAGAACATCAATATGTATTAGAAAATGTAATAAAAATTTGGGGTAATTTTGGAGCCATTTTTTGGAAAAAACCATGGGCCATAGCCTTGGGTATTTTTTGAAAATTGGCCTAGCTATTTTTTAAAATGCTCATAACTCGAAAAATATTTGTCAGAATCAGCTCAAACTTTCTACACAGCATAAGGACTCAATATGTATCAGAAAATGTAATAAAAATTGGGGTGATAACATGACACTAGTACTTAAAGAAGTATTGAACTATGTGGACTAACTTTACACTTGCAAAAAGACAGGAATTATCTGCCGGGACAACTCTAATTACAAGAAAAAAATTGAAAAAATCATCATAATCTTCTTAATTTTCAATGTTATTATTTACTTTCGTCTCAGTTCTCCTATTGCTGTAGATACTGATGATGATGATGAAGATGATGATTGAGGACCTGATGATGTGTTATTACTAATAACTTTACTCTCTCCAGTAATTAATACATCTTTATCTGCTTCTAACTGAGCAACCTAGAAATATAAAAATAATGCACAAGCTAAATTAAATATATTTCTACAACTAATCAATAAATGTAAGTTATCATTATTACTGGTTGTCGTTGTTTTTTTGGTCGGTGTCCTCTTGGTTGCTGTAGCTCTTGCAGAGTGACAGTGTCTCCATCCTTGATGCCAATGTCAGCCATTGTTAACTTGCTGTCATATGACTCGATCTCTTTCGGAGGATAACTGTGCAATACTGCAGAATTAAAACTAATGATTATCATAAATAATGAGACAAGTCTAGCATGTTATACTGTATAGCTGGTAATTTTGGAGGTGAAAACTTTGGCTTTTTGATAATGAAATTATGATAGTTATTTGCCAAAATAAAATTTATCATTTTGAATCATGCAAATTTGCCAAATTAAAACTCTCCAATTGTCAAAAATTTGCAAAAATTTACCACTCCAAAATTACCAGCTATGCAGTACTTAGATGATTATTATTAAATTATTATGCTTATTTTTCTATCCGTTTTACTTTTTTGTTGCTCAGGTGGTACATCTGTTTTATCTTTGATGGCAGCCTGCAGGTCCTTCAGTGTAGTGGAGGACTTTATATTGGACAAAATGAAACGTCCAGTCTTACACTGCAGCCTCACTACCTTAAATAAATCATTAAACATGCAAAAATTTAAAACTAAACTCACCATTTTCAAACAATGAATATTTAATTAGATCAATTAATTAAGCTTTATACTAGGGACCTAAAACTCAGGATACTCCCGTAAAACCATCGAAAGTTGAAACTCGACAGTCGACACCAGTCTCATTTGGTTAGATCGAAGCAAAGAAAGGAAGAAATAGAGAAACAAGTTGCTGATGGCTCTGTTAAGGTTTCCTTTAAGACTGAAAAAGGTCAGTGGAAGCTATGGGCAGTAGCTGTAGCTCTCCTATCATGTTTTTAAACGTTCTTTGTCCGGGGCCTTGTGTACAATGATAAGCTGCCGGTGTGGTGGGGGTGTGTGTATGCGTGATTTTATCATCTCCTCTCCTATCACTAGGTACTTACTAGTCCAGCCATTAGTACAAGTATCAGAAGTGTATCTTCACTCAAGGTAACAGCATAATGACCTTTGTTTGATCAAAATCATTCAAAGACACAACATTTAATAATATTAACACACATTATCATTGTGTTTCATGACCCTGTTCATGTATTGTTCTCTGTTCTATCCATGCTCTCTTTTAAATGTGCTCTTCGTAGCACTTTAATTTTAACCCTCCACACCCACCACCATACTATCTTTCTTTCCCTCTCTCAGTATGATGCATACATGCATACATGAAGCAAGTGCCAAAATTGTAACGTGTTAGCAACTCACTTCTCCTTAATGAGCTTCCTCTCTCCTGCTGTTCTCTTTGCTTCTGTCTGGCAGCCATCTTGAGGCTGCACTGATGGAAATTGAGAGAGCAGCAATAAAAATGGCTACCGAGTTCACTCGTGAGGATAAAGTTATTGAAAGAGGGAGGAGGAGGGTGGCTGGTCAGACACCATCCTTGTGAACGACAAAACTAAGAAAGAGAATAAAAATATATAACATGATAGATGTGTCATTTAAAGGGTGTGCTCTCTCTTACAAATTCAATGCCAGCAGGCAGAGATCCATTTGCTCTGTTTTCTGTTGGAAATCTCTGACATACTCTAGGCTTCACGTCAACT